GCAACAATGCATAAGATTCTAATAAGATTACTGACATTTAGAAATGGGAAGAAAGGAGCTAAAGGTGTAGGGAAGGTGGGATGGGTAGGGGAAGAGTAAAAAGGGAAAAGAAAAAAATGTGAGAGAATGAAAAGATGAAAATAAAGTGTTTGTAGATGGGGAGGGGAGGAGGGGGTGAAGGGAGGGCAGAGGTAAGGGGAAAAAATGAGAATCAAGACTTGTCATGTAGAGGTACAAGATCCCAACAATGAATGTAACTGTACTGTATCCCTAAAATGTACCAATAAACTCAATTAAAGCTGGAAAAAAAAAAAGTTCTTGTAACCACATGGCAGCTATATTGTACAGGATCAATAAGTGAAAGTTTACCTATTTAAACATGGTAGATGGCTGCTTCTCACAATGATAGCAGTGGTGACCATTGCAAAATCCATAATATTTATGATCTGGCTGTTAAGAGAAAAAGCTTACCAATGTCTAATACAGAAGTTAAGAATTATATTCTACAGCTTATAATTACAAACTTTGTGTTAGAACAAGCCAAAATAATAGGTTATCAGGTCAACCATTCCATTCCATAGGTTAGGTGTAACAAATAGCACCTTTGGCAGGAGAATACAGTAAAAGTACTTTGCAGAGGTGTTTCACTAAACTGTGTAAGAGATTTGTATAAGAGTTTTCTTTAGAAGTGCACTGAATCGAAATAAGTCTTTATTTTATAGAAATATTCATTTTAATTGAAGCTTTAAGCTTCAACTCTAAAAACATTTTGATGAACATTAAACTTTTTAAAAGTACTTTAAAGGGGTTTAAGAAAAATAGGTACAATTACAACTGCTGTATTTTATTTTGAAACCAAATAAATATGTTCTACCTTCATGAAGTGTTTCAGGTTCCAGGATCTCATATCTATCATCAACATCAGAAGTGGTGAGGAAATCATCCTCCTCCAGCTGTAGTTCTCCTGCTGGCCCCTCCTCTTCTTGTTGCAGGTCTTCTCCTTCAACACAGGTAAGGAATAAAGAGACATGGGTGTACAGTGAGGAGCCAGCAACAGCTGTCAACTCAGATGCAAAAACCCTTCTGCAGGATGGCCAACGTAATCCCCTCTCAGGGCTACTGTAAGTGCTGGGTCTGCCCTAAAGCTATTTTTCAACTCTAGCCACCTGTTAGTCAGACTAAAAGTAAACATAAACTCACCTCTTCCCAGAATGTGGACAGGCATGTCCCAAGTTTTGCCTGCTATATATGCCCAGCACCTAGGGCCATGCCTAACCATAAATATTCAATAAATATTTGATATATGAATTCATAATTATGAATATACATGCCTCTTCAATTATCACTAGATCAGAAAAGGTCACATCATGATTTTTTACTGAAAATTGACACAAATTCCTTGTAACAACTTTAAATGTCTATGCAAATGTTCTAATGCAAAGAACATATAGTTAGTTACCTATCTAAATCAGATTCTAGGTCAGATTTACCTGCATTATCCTGTGTATCTCAGCTATCCTAAGTGTAATGTTTAGTTAAGAAAAGATGTGTATCTTATTTTCTGTAATTAGCTTCTATAGTATATTGAATAGCTCTGCTTTTGAGTGGACAGAGTACACTGCTCCACTGCAGTATGGTTTAGATTGTCATTGTGCCTAAAAATTATCCTCATAGTAACATGACATTGGCCTCCAACAGAGAAGCTCCAGTAAATAACACTCTTAACTAAAGAGTTTTATAAACTGGGCCAGACTGTTTGAGGCAGCATAGTGAAGAGTGTAAGCTCTGGAAGGGCTGGCTCTGGACCAAGGCTCTTTCATACCAATTCTGTGACCATGGGCAAATTACCTACTCTGCCTGACATCTCCTTTCTATAAAATGGCAGTAATGACCACCCATTCCTGACATGGTTGTAAAGTTTAAAATGCTTAGAGAAATCCTGACCCACCTTAAATATTTAGGTGTTTTTCTTGTCTCACTACAGTGACAACCATATTACTATTTCTGCTGCTATTGAATTTTCCACCAAAGTTATACGAAATACTTAATTACTCTGCCTTTAGTGTGGCATAGTGAGGCTCTCAAGTATACTGAATCATTCGGGCCTATTTATGAAGCCATTATTTACAGTAGTTTTCCCCGTACCTCTGGTCTTGCTTTCTGAAATTTTAGTTACTCATGGTCAACCACAGCATGAGACTAACGTGGAAAAATTTCAGAAATAATTCATAAATTTTACATTGTACATTATTCTGAGTAATATGATGAAATCTGGAGATATTCCTCTCTCATCTCACTGGGATGTGAAATGCCACTGTGTATAGCAAATCTATATTACATACGTGACCTGCTCATTAGTCATATAGTGGCTGTTTTATCAGATCAGATGTCATACTATTTAACTGTGTTCAAGGAACCCTTATTATCCTCAATAACGGCCCGATGCACAAGAGTAGTGATGCTGGCAATTCAGACGTGCTACCACTGACAGGCTATAATGTGCTTCCTTTAGTGAAAACAGTGACGGTCTAGGACTAAGAAAAAAATTCATACACTAAGGTGAGTAAGAACTACAGTAAGAACAAATCTTCAGGAAATTAAGAAAGGAAAAAAAATTGCGAGTTTTCTTGTTGCATCTCAAACTGCAAGACAGAGTAAATCAAGGAAAACTCCTGGGTTTTAGCTTATACACTGCCTGGGTGAAAATTCCACTAACTAAAATACGAAAGGCTAGAGTAGGAGCAATTTGGGCTGGGGCAAGGGGAGAGCCAGGACAGTTGTGACAGGGAGGACAGCTCAGTATTGTGTAGCTTCAGTCGGAGATATCCACACAGCCTTGACATGGAGACATCTGGTACCCAGGTGCACGCGGCTGGGGTTTGGATGAGTCGTCAGGGCTGCAGCTATCTAGTCAGCGATCACAGCAGATAAATCATACTGAAAGCCATGGACTGCCCCTACAATTGTCTAAGGAGAAAATCTATAAAAAGCAGGTCCAAGAGGATTCTTTCCTCTTTTGCATGGCCACCACCCGGACCCACTTATATTACTGCTGTCTTCTCTCTATTCTCCATCTCCACATTTGAGTCTGATGAACCATCTGGACTCATTAGGGTTACCACACAACCTACTCTAGCTGACCTCCCTGCTGCATGATGATCCCTCTCATCCATGTTTTTTTTAGGTTGCAGGAAAGATGCACAATAATCCTGAACACTCCTTGAATCAAATATTTTAATATTCTTTTCCCTCATCACTCTTTACTTATTCATCCAATGTACCGGCTATTCTGAATGACTTTTTCGCGGGGTGGGGGCACAACTAGAAATCAAACCCAGGGCTTTTATATCAAGCTATGTCCCCAGACCTTTTAATTTTTTGAGACAGGGTCTCATTAAGTTGTCCAAGCAGGACTCAAACTGGTGATTCTCCTCCCTCAGTGCTGCAATATCGAGTGGCATGTGTCAGCATGTCTGGCTTCAACACTCTTGCCTCCGGACTTTCACACATGCTATGCCCTCTGCTGACTACACTGGCCAGCAGAGATTCCATATCATCTCTCAGCTTCTAAATGAAGATGTCATTTCCTTCAAGAAGCCTGTTAAGAGCACCAAGTCACCATAATAGTTCTTCCCTCGTTATAGTAAAATTATTCATTTAGATTCAACCTTCCTTGAGTTAGGTTAAATTTTTTTAAAGCTATAGGAAGAGAAATTCTGCACTTGATCTTATGGGCAAATGCACATCTAGGCAAAGTGGTTTTCTAGTCACAAAGAAGCTGGTAATTAAAGGACATATGTTCCTACACCACCAGTAGCCCTCAGAACATCCAGTTCAAATGCTAGGGAGTTATTTTTATAACACAAGTTACTTTTCCTTCTTTACAGTTACCACATCAAACCATCAAGAGTATCAGGATACCACAGTGTCACATGCCTTTGCAATCCTTTTCTGGATTACATTTTAGAGCCACGTTCTCTGCTTTTATCAAGGGATGCTTCATGAAAGAGATTTAGACAATTCTAAAGCACTGGCTTCTACCTCCCTGCTTGCCATACCCTTAAAACAATGGTTTCTGGAATATCATTTAATATTCTTTCTACAGATCTCAATACAAGGAATTTTTTAGATCTGAGTGCTGGGAGAATATTTTTATGTTCTTTAAGGAAATAGTATGCTTTTGACTTCTCTGGGAATATGACCAATATAACTAAGTTCCTGCTTTTTTTACTTTGGCAACCAGCCAAGCATGAAATAAAATTCAAGGCTTGACAGTGGCTACTGGATAAACACCATAGCTCGCTTGTGTTCCATTTTAATCTGCTCTGTTTTCAAATCTATTTGTGATGAATCATTGCTTTTGACTTGCTTATATTCATGTATTTTTATTTTCTTTCTGAGACAGGATCTTGCTATAGTCCAAGCTGGACTTAAGCTTGCAATTGTTCAGCCTCAGCCTCCCAAGTGCTTGGAATTGCAGCCATGTAATACCATGACTGGCTTCTTACCATTTTACTACTAGATATATTCAATAATTTCCTTCGGCTGGGGATTTAGCTCAGTGGTTCTGCTGCCTGAGTTCGATCCCCAGTACCAAAAAAAAAAAAATCTGAGCCTCTCTTCTGAGCATTACACACTGTGCGCATGTGTCCGATCACACACCGTACCCCAAATAGGGACAATCCGTGTTTGTTAATATGCTAATACAATCAAAATATCTCTCAACTGAAAAACAACTACAGATTCAAACCACCTATGTGAGAAGCCTCCTACAGCCCACAAAGACTAGTCCTCTGCCCAGGGACACTGGAGCACAGGTGCCCTGGCACTGGACTGTGTTGTGCTCTGCCCTGATCCCCAAGAAAAAAAAAAAAAAAAAAAAAAAAAAAAAGAGTTCCTTCATAGTGAGGTTGGGTAAAATAAAGTACATCTAGTGTTATTTCAAAAAGAGTATTCTCTAATAACTAATTTTTTAAAACCTCAAATAGCCATTTAACATTTAAATTTTAAAATAATGCCAAAGTAACTTTATTTAAACATTTTAGTAACTTATGACAAAATAGATTTTAATTCATACCATGTTCTGTGTGTACCATTTCGTGAAGAATGGATTGAATTTGTTCTTTTACTTCATCTTCAATATTCTGGGGTTCTAAAATAATTATAAAACATTACTAAGTAAAATATATTTAAACATTACTGGGGGATTCTAACATTCAAATATAGCATTTGTGCATATACATTAAAATGAGTGTATTTGGCTAAACAATTGCACATCTTTTTCTTATCAGTTTACCACTTTTTTCCTATGTTGATAAACATGTTAGACATTTACAAGTGCTTTTATTTGGTGAGTAAATATGAATGTTAAGACTACTATTAAGATTTTTAAAACCAAAATACATCATGTAAAGGTAAAAGATCCCAATGATGAATGTAGCCATACTGTATACCTAAAAAGTACCAATAAACTTAATGAAAAAAAATACTTTAAAGAAAAAATAATTTGGGTATAGATTTTTTTTTCCCTAAAAAGTTCATCAGACACAAAATAACTTCAGTTTCTAATTGATAACATTCATAAAATGAGAGGACAAAGTTTTCACAAAGGGAAGTACTTAGAAATAAAAGATAAAACCATGAAATAAAAAATCAACAAGATTACAGAATATGGTACCCTGTGTCCCCTGACCAGCAAGAGAAAGGGCAGCTTGCCAGCGTGGGGGCCCAGAGAGATGACTGTTGCTGGAACACTCCCAGAAGTCTGCAAGTTAATAGATAGCCTTACGTCATCACTGGTGGTCCTTTCCGCTTTGGAGAAACACATCTGACACTCAGATCCATAGATTCAAATAAATGTGAGCAGGAAAAATTAACATGATTGATGACGTGCTTACAACAGTGTACTTCTTGTTGGAGTATCAGAGTTACTACAATATCACACAACAAACAAGAAACTGTAATTACATTGACACTATTATCAACCCTATAACAAATATAATGTTTGTTCAGTGAATGAAAGCACCACTAGATTGGGTCTTGTTGTCATAAATGCTATCATATGAAATAATGTCAGTGACAGTAGCAGTATGTGAGAGAGCTAATCTTCAATGACAAAAATCAAAATGAGTTAATTTGAACTTCAGGGAGTGAAAAAGTTTAAGTACAGTATTCCTATGCTAATCATGTAACAAAACCATTTCTAAGGCATAAAACTCCTATTTTTCTAGATGTTTATATTTCACAAATCATCTTTATATTCTGGCACAATTACTGAGCTGTCTAGCTTCCGCTCCTCCCTCCCACCTCCCATGGCATCTATGATGGCTTCCTAAGTGGATTCCCAGTGTCACAGCTGCAAAGGGCACAAGCCAGAGATAACGCAGTGTGAGCTGCTAGAAGTACAGGGTCATGCTCTCTGCTTCTTTGCTTAACACATTCATGGCTCCCTTTGCCCCAAGTGAAAATGTACACTCCATGGGAAAGAACTTAAGTGCTCTAAAATTCACGTACATTTCCAGAATCTTCTACTACCAGAACTGGCTGTGTTTGAATTTAGTGACTGCATCATGTCATTTCATGTTTCCATGGTTTTGTCAATGTTCTTCCTCTCACTTAGAGAGGGTTAGTAGAGACATAAGCCAGACTGCATTGAGTTAAAGGATGAGGATATGAGAAGGCAGAGAAAAAGAAACAAGGACCAAGGCCTTCAACACACAAGCATAAAATGGACAGAGCACCTGATGGTAGAAGAAGAAAAAAGCTGAAACTATGATGTGTGGTTGCTTCATAATCACTAACTTTAAAACAGTTGTTTTTTATGGTCCTCATAAGATGTACTATACAATGCTCAACTCTTACTATGTCACTCAAAGACATCGTGTTCATCTGTTTATTGAGCTACAAATGTAGTATGTACTTTCACTTTTTAAATGGAACAGCTGTGCTGAACTTTTTTATCAGTAACACTTGAAGTAATAAAATAGCCTTCATTTTTTTTAAAAAAAGAATGAAGATAAATAAGGAAAAAGTTTACTGTACAGTCTTCTTTCAAAAGCCCGCCTATTGTAGTGATGAGAGGGCTTAGGTGGCAGAGAGGGGTCGAGTCTTTATTTTATTGTATTTTTATCAGAGTTACATAACTGTGTTTATAGAATAAATGGATAAGAGTCAGTGAAGAAAGAGAAATCAAGGGCACAATAAGCGAAAGGTTTAGAGACAACACTGAAACCAAAACAAACATTACCAAGAAGTTGAAAAGAACATGGACTAGTAATAAATCAACAGATTATGGGACTAGATTATCAACAACTTGCAATAGTAATAGTTTACAAAAATGAATAGAAAGTAAATAACATCTGTGTTGGCTTTAAAAACAAGATTTTTTAAAATCATAAATTCACTTAGTACAAAGTAAAATGTGAGGCATTAAATCCAAATACATTTAATTATAAAACTATTTTTTTTAAAAAAAAAAGATCCTTTTTCCAGAGCCATGGTATAATCATGGCAATTTCACAGGAAAGGGAAGGAGAAAACAAATTCTCCTAGGATTATTACTGAAAAATAATAAAACTTAGGATATTAATCTTAAAATACAGAAGGAAGGAAAATCTAAATTCATCAGTATCTTTTGGATCCAGTATTTAAATTGCCAGTGAAAAATAAAATTAAAAAATAAATTAAAATAAATAAATAAATTGCCAGTGAACATATAATACTGAACACTTCCAATAGGTGGCACAATTAGACCAAACTTTTGAGAACTAGTATGTAAATGAAAAAAATATGTACACAGAAGCTTATACAGTATTTTAAAATAATGAGTAAAAAGTGGTAGTAAAAGATTAAAATTTTATTTACTAATTTATTAAAATTTTTAAAGATTTCCTAACCTATAAGGTCATAGACCCTAGGGAGACTGCAGATGTACAGATCCACCTAAATATAAAACATATTTCACAGTGCATCAAAAGGAGATCCGGAGACTTTAGCGCCAATAAGAGACTCCCACATAAAAAAGACTTGGAATCCATTACTTATATTTTATTGAACTATGGCAAATGATGCCAAGATCAGTGTATAATATGGGTTATACTGTCAACATAATTTAGGACAACAATGCTGGAATTGGAATGAAAAAAAAAATAAAGCAAGCGCTGGATCCTGCTGTTCCTGGCTAGTGTGTGAGTCTGGGCTATAAACAAATGTCTGCAGCTTAGAGTCTTCATCTCAAAGATTAAAATTATCCTATGCAAACTTTTACTAGGAAAAAAATGTAGGTTTAAAGTTTTAGAAAGAAAACATAAACTGGCCATGGTGGTGCATGCCTGTAATCCCAGCACTTGGGAGGCTGAGGCAAGAGGACTGCTGTGAGTTCAAGGCCACCCTGGGGTATGTAGTGAGTTCCAGGCAGGCCTGAACTACAGTGAGACCTCATCTCAAAAAAGCCAAAAAGAAAACATAATTCATCTTTCTGTAAACAATGTGCAACATACTGCAGGTAAAACAAGACTCTGAACAGTGCAAAGGCCACCTGCCAGGCTAGGTACATCGTGCTGCAACCTGAGGACAACTTACCTGTCCCCAAGGGAACTTGGTCCTCTGGCTCAGTGTGTGGCTCAGCCTCAGGTGGTGGGAAGTTCGGCTCTGAAGCAGCTCTCTCTTTAAGGCCTGCATTTTTTATTCACAAAGTTAACTTAAGCTTTTTATTCTTTTTGACATATTAAACCAGGAAAAATAATATTCTCAAGCATTTAATTAGTGCACGTGATCCAGTTTCTAACATTACATGCTTAAAAGTTGAGGTAGGAAACAATTTCCTCTATAACTTTATATGGGTCTTTAGTATTTCTACTTTGCATTTAAAATATTAAAGAAAAATTACTTCATTCGTGAATCTTTGAAATATAGTCATGACTAAACTTGCCAAAAGTAGTTCAAGCTTCGTGTTCATGTGACTACCTCTTAAGTCCTGAGCTCAGAATTCAGTAATGAGGCCACTGTGATGCATGCACTCGAACTTTGGATTATTTCTGTGCGTGCCCTATTTTGATTTTTGTGTAATATTTATTCTTCTTGATAAACTATAAAGTTATGAAGAGATCAGTTATGAAGATATCTCTTAGAACTACTTACAACTTTCTCATGGTTACAAGTACTGAAATTATATTATTCTATATGAGCTAAAAGATATGGGGAGAAAAAAGTATTTTTAAAAAAAGAAATCCTAAGAACAAATTAATATGAAAGCTGATTTTAATAATCTAAAATCTATTATAAATCTATCATATAGTTCTTTGATATAATGTAGACTATATTCATTTTTTGATATTTCACATACAAAACCTTAAAATGTATCAATTAGTACTATTTAGAAAACCAAACTAGTAACAGGAGCCTGGTTCTGTTGGGTGTATCATGGGCTTTTCCCACCTGCTGTGAATCTCATAGCAAGTGTCATTTTCCAGGAAACACCCTGTACATGGCTGTATTCTGCAGTTAAAAGGGTGCAGATCAAGTGCTGAGAGATGGTTTCCTAACCTTAAACACCCCTGTATAGCTGGGGATTAAACCCAGACCGACCCTCCATACTAAGCTATATCCCAAGTCCTTTTCAAATGTGTGAGACAGGGTCTCATTAAATTGCTCAGGCTAGGTTCAGACATACAATCTTCCTGCCTTAGCCAACTATAGGCTGGAAATTTCTCATTTCAATGTGTTATACTCTTCTTTGTATGCTCCTTATTGCTCCCTTTTCCATACCTCATTTTTCTACCAATGTGAAAAATAAATAAAAATGTCAAATTCCTCTTCCCAAATCTTAAGAGACTGGGAGACAGGGATAAACAGGATCTACTAGCCATATAACTTACATTTCCTCTGCTTACCTGTTTCCAACACACTAAGTCCACACAAAACCAAAGAGGAGTAGCACAAACACCAATATATAGTTGCCTTCTATATTTAAGTGTCTCACTATAAAATTGATTAAAAAGGATCATAAATATTCACAGGTCCTAACTGTGGTTCAACTTATGCAAGGGTAGAGATGATGCCCTTGTATAATTAATCAGAGTTTAATTTAAATATAGGCCTGCAATACTCTGCCCCTTCCCACTTAAATAATTCACTTTTACATCTCTCCACTGAGTGAGATAGTTTTGCAAATATTCATTGCCAAATTCTGCTGAATGAAGGGGAAAAGGTTGAAAATCCTTAAAATTGTTTTATCTTAGCACTCTGAGCACTTCAGCTAACAGCTGTAATAGAACAGTTGTCCCAAAAGATCTGCTGGGGACTGAAAGAAACTCAGTTGTGCCCACTGCCCTAGCTGGCTGCAGAAGTCCCTTCAGGCTCAGGACCACTGGCTGCACTGGACTGGCTAAAGGCTTGGAGGTGGGACAGGGATTCACATCAAGTTCCCTACCACCATTTGCTTGAGATGTACATCTCTGCTCCAGCATTAATCAGTTCAGCACCACAGGTCTAGTCTGCTTTGCACAATCCTGGCTCATGTCTATTGTCCTAGAATGATTATTTCACTTTCCAAAAATTTTCATTTTGAATAAAACTCGTCATCTTTCCCTGACCACATAAACAGTATGCTTTCAAAATGTGTGTCATTAGTAAAATAAACAATAATTTCCCATCAAACAGTAAAGACTAGGGGCAACCCACTTTCCAGTGCCCCTTCTCAGACAAAAGCTGTCTTTCTCTGAATAAATTTTTCCTACCCTTAAAAAAAACAGTAAAGATTAGACTGCCTGAAAATTTCTTTCCCACTAAATCTGGAGAAAGTTTTCATTTGGAAAAAGAACTGTCATACTAAAATGCCTGAGGCTACTTGTATACCAGTATTTAGACAGGCAATGCCTCTAAAAGCCAGCTTTTGTTAACTCAACTGGAAGCTATCTGTCTTCAAAACCCAAAATGGTAAAACATATGAAAAACATAACAGAACAAAATAAGACACATAACAGCAGAAAATATTATGCAGTTTTCTTTTAGATCCAAAGTTGTGGTTGAATTATAAACATATTAATACAGATTCTTCTAGAGGTAAAATCAGGAAAAAAAATGACACTGTAAATGTCAGAGAAAATGAAGATCTGTATCTTTTCTAGACCCCTACACTTTTAAAACTTAAGAAAACATGTTCTAGACTGGAATTGTTTTAATAACCATAAGAAACAATTGGCTCTACAAGGTTTTATACTACTTTTATTTGCCACCCAAATTCCTTTTGGTTTATAAGACTTGAGGCAAAAAGCAAATAATTAAATGAAAAGCATGAATAACATAATAGATCAACTCCAACTCATAATCAAATGAAAGGTTTTTCAAGCTGGGTTTATTAGGAAGTACAATGACAAGTACATAATACTGGAATAAATATTCAAAAATTTTGAAATGTGTCCATTTTCATGTTGCTGGGGCGTATATGCAACAAAGCACCAACTTGCAATACAAGGACTTACTGTCTAAGTCAACATGGAGAGCAGAGGCAGGCTAGCTGGTTCTCAGCACTAGCTGTCTCCTCGGGCCAGCAATCAGGTTCTTTCAGACAAGATGGCATTCATATACAAAAGGACATGTCTTGCTCTGCTTCATTCTTAGATTTGAGAAAATCTTTCTGAGATATTCCCAGTAATCTTTCAGTTTTAACAGAACCATGACCATTTCCATTCCTGAGCCAGCACAAGGTACAGAATGATCAGATGCCTTATGTTCTTTATCTAGGGATGAATGTTGTGAGGCCACAGTAATGCCCATGACATGATTTGGAAAATGAACCAATTCCCTTCAAACATGTTTTTATTTTTATAAACTCATTAGAAAAAAATTTTTAAATTTACATTTAATAACTGTGGAACTGTCACCCCAATTTTAGTTAAAAATGGGAGAAGTTATAAAAAGTTAATGAAATCAGCACTTTAAACTCATCATTCATAACAATTGATAATCCAATTACCCTGGTCCAGTAATAACTTTATTCACCACTGCCCAACACAGCTGATCATAATAAGAAGGAACAGATGCATTTCTTCCCATATCATGTGATAGTTGTAAACCCATTAAATTACACATTGCATTCATTCACTCAAAAATATGTATTTAGGGCTGGGGATTTAGCTCAGTGGTTCCAACCGTCTGCCTTGCAAGTGCAAGGTCACAAGTTCAATCCCCAGTACAAAAAAATACATATACATGGGGGGGGGCTATTAGTGAAGGATGCAGCAGGATAGAAGTCAGCCAGGGTGTGAGTTCCAGCAAGGCCTTGGGACACAGAGCCCTTCAGTGGAAGGGCTCACTTTTGCTAAGTATTATGGTCATCCCTAAGTATCCCTGAGAAATGGCTCCAGAATCCCTACAAACACCAAAATCCACAAGATTTACAATCCTTTATCTAAAAGGAAGTAGAATTTGCATATTACCTGTGTACTTCCTAACTATACTTTAAAATATCTCTAGATCACTCACACCTATGCAATGTAAATGCTGTATAAGTAAACTATATTGTTTCAGGAATAATGGACAGGAAGTCTACACATGTTCAGTACAGATGTGAATTCTTTTGTTTTTTGTTTTGTTTTTTATTTTTGTACCAGGGATCAAACTCAGGACCTTGTGCTTGCAAGGCAGGCAGCAGAACCACTGAGCTAAATCACTGGCCTGTGACTTCTTTTTCTAAATATTTTCAACCCATGATTGGTTGAAATCTGTGGATATGGAGGCTGAGGGTGTGGAAACAATAGGTGCAGAGACAACTGGACAAGTAAACTCCTCCCTCCATAAAATCTGGGAGAGAGCTATAGTGTTTCGTTTCAAAAGATTTTGTACACATACCCCATAAAAAGCTGACATTTTTCAAAATCAGTTAATCTTTAGTTTACTAATGTAATGGTAGACTGATGGATAACTTTTGTCTTAACTCATCCAGATTCTCCAGATACTGTTATCTGCGCAGGGCACATGCTCAGAACAATGCTGCTTCTAAGGCAAGTGATCAAATAGTATATGAATCAATATACCCCCCAAAAGGCTAACAAGTATGTATAACTTGTGAAATATTCTGGGATCTCCATGCACCAGAAAGGCACACATACTAACTACCTGTGCTAATCTTTGTTTTTGTCTCTGGCTTCTATACTCACTGACTACAAATCTTACTAAGTATACCAATAGCAGCCTCAAAACGAAACAAAATTCTGCGACTACTTGGAACTTTTAAAAGGCTGCCCCATGATATAAAATAAGACACATCTTATTCAAACTGTCTACACATGACCAAAGAAAGATTTCAGAAAAAAAATGACAATGTAAATCACAGAAGAATTAAGATACTGTCCAAAAGATTCCTATGTATCTGATTTCAGAAATAAGAGGGACTGAAAAGAGGCTGTAAAAAGTATACTCACTTTAACATCATGCAAAACATAAAGATGTGCATAGGATTGGGCACTTAAACCAGGCCAGCTACCTGTGAATTCCATGTTGAGCAAGTTACTGCCACTATAACTTTTTCACAAATACAGAAAGATAAAATAGTAAATCTTAAAAAAGTTTTAAGAATTGAGATAATTTAAATCCAGTGAATACATGTTTCTAAACCATTGTTTTTCTTTATTTCTTCTAAAGAAAAATTTGACCCAGAGGTGGTGGCACACACC